GATAATAACTGTTCAGAGGAAATAAAAAGGAGGATAGGAAAAGCGACAGGTGCAATGGCTTCTTTGAGACACATATGGAATAGCAAGAAAATTAAGCTAGAAAATAAACTTAGAATCCTAATCACATGTGTGTTCAGTGTCCTATTATACGCATCAGAGACATGGACCCTTAAAGAAGCAGACAGGAAAAAAACTATTGACATTCGAAATGAAATGTTACCGACGGGTTCTAAGAATTAATTGGCAAGATATGGTACGAAACGAAGATATCAGGAAAAATATATCAAAGGAAGAGACCATAATAGACATCATCAAGAAGAGTAAACTAAGGTTATTTGGCCGCATCTGCAGAATAGACGATGGGAGACTAATAAAACATCTAGTATTTGGTAAAATGGACGGAAAATCTCGAAGGGGGCGTCCATGCAGAGAATGACTAGACGACATGACAGAATGGTGTCAGCACAGTGGACATGACCTGTTCCACCTTGCGCAAAATCGGTGGGCATGGAAAAATCTGATTCCGTAAATGGTTGGCCCCAACGGGCGTTAAGCCTAAGGGACATGGTGATGATGATGATGAATTTCACATCTCGTTCAAGCAAAAAAGGAATGGGTGTGGGTGTTTCTATAATATCTATGATATCCACACCCACACGCTGAAGTGTTTAGTGGTTTCATGGAGAAATATTGTGAATGATAATAGTTTAAACAGTATTTTGGATATAGCTATCGATATTGTTGATCACAGATGTTATGTAGAATGTTGAAAATTTGATATTTTTCGTATTAGCAGATGAGAAATTGATATTTTTGTTTTTGATAAACGAAAATTTGATAGACGCTTCCCAGTGGATGGAACAGTTGCGAATTGTGCATACATTAAAGTGGACTCAACCTCTAGATTAAGGTATATTGTGTGACAAAAAAAAGATTAAAATGTTCATCTGTTCATTGTAGGTGGTAGAATTAATGCGTGTAATAGTAGAATAAACTGTTTGCTAGCTTCTGTAACGTTAGCATACACTCGTTGCTAACGTCTGTAACGGTAGCATACACTCGTTGCTAACGTCTGTAACGGTAGCATACACTCGTTGCTAACGTCTGTAACGGTAGCATACACTCGTTGCTAACGTCTGTAATAATAAAAATATGCGATTCTGTCGTAACTATGGGCTATAATAATAAAAGCACAGATTTTGAGGATTAATTATAATTAGATTAAATCCTAATTATAATGATTTCTAATTAGTGAGACTAGATGTTAATTACTGATGTGTGCAGTGGTGAACATGGGCAATCTACCTGTAATAAAAACGTTTCTAATTAGTGCATCTAAGTGTTAGTTTTTTATGCTTTATGTCTGTAATGGGGAGGGGGTGCTACGCTCTCAGTGATGTCGACTGATGTGTAACTATTAGAAATATCAGGAGCCACAATAACTGTTTATCGCCAATTGGAGAAACTATAAGAATTATGACTTGGCTAAGAATGCCAATGATTTATTGAACAAGACAAGATAGAGAAACGAACGAGAGTTATTCAACAATAGTTCAAAGAATTAGCGTTGAGTATGTTGAAGAACAGTTGAGAATAGAAGAAGCAAAAGGCAATAGAATCTTTTTCTACTATTTTCTTGACAAAGATGAATATGTACTAACTGATTTAGAAGGAAAAACAGTAAGTAAAAGATAGATTGATTTTTATATATTGGCGCGTACGAGAAAAGAAACGATTAATTATACTCATAAAGAAAAGAATATATATATATTAATTAAATCAGTAGTGACCGTACGGTCACAGGGGGAGGGGTGCGGCTCTGGGGACCCGGAAAAACTTTACACGTCAACTTACATTCACTCTTTTCTTTGAAAATATATGTGAGTTCCACAAAAATCCCTAAATAAAAATCCACGTTTGGTGACCAGATAATTTTGTATCGTCTCATTATCCATAAATGTGGATTTGATTTAGAGAACAGCAATTTGTGGAAAATGGGACCCATTCATTAAAATGAAAAAATAATTCGATAAATTAATGAATTCATTCTTATTGAATTTCGATTATTGAACAGTAGGCATCTGTCTCTTCATCAGTGTAGGTGCAACGCGCGATATTTGACGTTGATGTTGTGGTGCTAAAAAGAATATTTTCTTTTTGATTGCCTTACGTAGTTCAGGTAGTTGACATAGAGACACAAATGGAAAGAGAAAAGTGATAAAATAGGCGAAAAAACTAAAATACGTTTGAATTTGAGCACCGTACTGTGATGGTAGACCGCAAAAATGAGCAAACGAAATAAGACAACTTGGAAGATTCAAACCAATGTTCAAAGCTGACATTAATGATAATTGCATTGTTAATCGACGAGTTTTGCGCCATTGAGGTGAACGACCGAGGCGTCGCTTTTGTAATTGAACGCGTATAAGAAATGAAATACTAGCAAAAGTTTCAAGAGTAATTGGTAAAATACCATTAACAATAGATTCCCATTTACTTGGAAAAGCATAGGATTCAAAGCATGGAGATTCGCCGCAAATTGGTAACGTATAATCAAAGGTATTTTGACAAGGTAGGAAGAAAATCTGCGCAAGATAGAACAACAAAATATAGGCGGCTATAATAATCATAGGAGTATAATGAAGAATAAAGCATCGTCGTCGATTGCAAATCCACCCATCATGAAATATTAATATATGTCTTTCGACAGCGAGCCACGCCATCAGAATCATACTTCCTAAATAACAGGTATAATCAATGTACCACCAAATGAGGCATACACTAGGTAGCGGTGGCTTCACAGAGCCATAATGAAAATATATAATTTGCAGATTTATATCAATCAATTGGATAGGTAAATTAAAGATAAGTATGAGCAAAATGCAATGATTGTACAGCGCGCGGCGTTGAGTTCGATTAATGATTATATGAATGATGACACAAGAAGCACAGACAATCGATGGAGTATTGAATACGAGAAGTAACCAAAAGCGAACTGGGCTACGGTTATCAATCTCCCCAAAATCAAAGAAACCATCGCTACTATTAAAACTATTATTGTAGGACATTGTGTTGAAAGCAAAAGCCAATTGCAATATAAACCAACTACTTTTCAAAGAAGAAAATAAAAATGATATAAAACGACGCTGTTCAAAACTTATTTTTGCATAAGTAAATGCTTATTTTATGCCTGAAAAGACAGCTTATATGATTGTCACCAAGAATATTCGGATCAAAAGAGATTTAAGAATATATTTATAAATAGAAGTTAGACATTTTTCTTTTCGCATCGATGGAAAGTGTTTGTTTGGATCATAGTGCTCATCGGGAATAAGAGCTGGTGAGAATCATTATCAATGATAGATTCAAGAATCAAACAGTGGGGTCAGTATAGCATAGTATTCAAGTGGCGTATCGGAAGTAGGTACACTATTGCAACATATACACAATTCGTCTATAGATCTTTTCAAGCAATGATATTAACATTCTTCTTTTATTATGTTAAATATGAGTATATACCCAGGTCGAATCACCCCAACAGGATCCTATCAGGTCCTTGAAGAATCCGATGCTTTCCGACTGTTGGCATCCGGACGGATCCGATTGTCGGAAACCATCAGTATCCGTTACTTTCCGACGATATCCACCGGCAGATTTTGCCGGATTCCAAGAAAAGCATCCGATGATATCCGATAATGGGAAGTTGTCTGATCAGACGAAATATGTTGCTAGGAAAACATCCGTAGGTACTTTATTTTGTAATTTTTATTTATAATTTGTTTTATTTTTATCTTCGATTAATTTTTATTTATAATTTGTTTTATTTTTATCTTCGATTAATTTTTATTTATAATTCGTTTTATTTTTATCGTCATTTAATTTTAATTAATTAAATTTTTCGTTTTATTTTATATATTTTATTTTTATTCTATTCTATTTTGAATTCATCGTTTTTTTATTTTTATTCTATTCTATTTTGAATTCATCGTTTTTTTATTTTTATTCTATTCTATTTTGAATTCATCGTTTTTTTATTTTTATTCTATTCTATTTTGAATTCATCGTTTTTTTATTTTTATTCTATTCTATTTTGAATTCATCATTTTTTTCTTTTTATTCTGCTGTTCTGCACTTTAATTACAGCGCCCTTACCCACACACAATGCAGTATGTGGATGTGGAAATTCCATGAATCAGTATATAGATCGATTAAAAAGTGAAATTGCCTATATTTTATTTTATTCTGTGTTTTAGATTGTAGTACGACATGAAGTGCATAAAACGTAAGTAGAAACTGTTTATTTTATTTTTTTTATTTTACTTAAACTTAATTTATTTTTTCATTTTGTAATTTATTTTAGTTTATTTTATTTTAATTTTAGTGTAATTGAGTTTATTTTGTTCTATTTTATGTATTTCAATTATTTAGTTTTAATTTTATTCTATCTTTTTAAGATTTTATTACGATATGAAGTCGATGAACAGTGAGTAGAAGCTAATTATTAAATGTTTTTAAGTTTTTTATGTATTTAATTTTAATTTAATAAAAGTTAAAAAAAACTATATTTAACTAGTAAATTTGAAGCTAACTGCAGGCGAGCAAGGAACATCTGATGGGGAATATGAATTTGCGGCAAAATCGAATTCATTAAAATCATCTTTATTTATGACAAAATAAAAACTGTACTGATATAGGGGTATAAGCAGTATACCGCTATACTACTATACCATACGATGGGGTACCTACTGTGGGTGTGGGGGTACCTTCTCTCCTTGTGTCTGTAAGGGACACGTGATATCTAGCTACCGCTATAATACTATAACAGTATAGCGGTATAGCGGTATAAGCATTTTGAATTTGCCGCAAATTCAAATACCCCATGNGTGATGAACAAAATCCAATCGCAGACAGAGCAACAAATCGGGATTCTATTTTTTCCTTCTTTGTCAAGTTGAATATGATTTACTTGTGCATTGTTGCGTGTCTATCAGACGCAACGGCGAAAAATCAATGATGACTGAAACTTGAGTAAATGTAGAAAACTGTGCTAATATCGATACAGAGATCGACATCCTGATTCTCAATATCTACCTTGAAACGATGTCGTCGTTACGCAACGAAACGAGAGCTATGTTTTAGGTTGAGAACGATTCAAGAGACTTCTCTTGAGCAACACTAAATAGTGTAGCACAAGTTGTTGTCAAGTTTATGTTCATGAGACTATAAAATCTGTCTTTGTATATTAGTAAGCTGAAGATGATCGAATAAATGATCGAAAATTCCAAAAACACTAATCAAATCAAAATCAAAAAACAAAAAGCTACTTGAAAATCATTATGATATCAATTCTTTTCAATCATACTATATGTGTTTCACTTGTACAATTCTACGTTATGGCTGTAATCGAATGTCTACTACATTGGTTTTGCACGTTATCAGGTATTACATTCAGTTGGTCAAAGTCTATATCGACTTAGAATCGATTTCACTGATCTTTATTTAATTTATGTTCTGTAAGATGTTCATTTTCTTGAAGTATATTTGACATAACAGTTGAACTTCAATTTTGAGGTCGCATTCATTCCATTTGTATAATGAATTTTTATTATGAACAGTTAGCAGTTATAAGATCGTCGAGTGGTTTCAGTGCTAGCTGTTAATTAAATTGAATCTCATCCATCTTTGCAACTATATTACATTGTTGATTATTGTCGTCGATATGATATTATTTTAATGATATATTCACCATTAGTACGAGGTAAATTTTTAAATAATCCATTTTTCAAGCAACTTGTAACAAAAATATAGATGTATACCTGCATAAAATTTGAATTCCATGCCCATAAAAAAATTAATTATTCATTTTCCTTAAGATTACTTAATATGGTTATCGACAAGAAGCTCATTCTACGTAGACGGTATCGAAAAAAATAATGGTTGGAATCAATTCCATCCCATTTATTAGATAAGAATTATATAATTATGAACAAAAAATATTTGAAAACAAAAGTTCTAATTGATAATATTAGTATATTCATCCGTCGGCATCGCAGGTAAATCAAGTATAGGTGATGCATCTTGCCCTACATATTTAGTTATGATTGCAGTTATTTGTCCACGATGATGAGTAGTATGATTAAATACATGATCCAATGCTGCACCACGATTACGTTCATGCTTATTTCCGTTAGTATCAATATAATCAAATGTTTCTTCATTCATTAAACGTTGATCATTTAATTCTTTTGTATAATCAATCCATCGATCACATTCGGTGAGAATTTTCTCATAAAGATCTTTACGATCGGTGATTGCTTGTTCCCATTCATTTGCTGGACGAGACCAATAGGAATTAATTTCATATGGATATTTTTCATCTTGAATTGAATGTGATGTTGTTGCAGTAAGACGATTATACCAAAGTTTACTTGATAAAAGTAAATGAACTAAAGTACCATGAATTGATCGAAAGTAAAGACCATTATCAGCATAATAGTTTTCATCGGATATATGGTTATCTAATGTACTATAGAGTTGTCGAAAAGCCCATCGATTATAAATAGCCATGCGAAGAAAATGTTGTTTGTATGCATTCATCTTTTTTTGTTGTGAGTTATTTTATTCGATGCACGTTTACATCACAACTAAGATATATATATATATATATATCTCAGTATTTCTTATTGAAAACAGCTGTGACATCATTTTTTTCATTTTATCATACACTTAGATAAAAGAGGCCATCTATAGATGATTATTATTAACTTTGAAATTAGTAAGAGAAATTTACAAGAAGAAAACGATAGATTCATACACCGACTCAAAAAACATTTCCGTCTAATTTTTTTTATTACAAGAGGTTTCTAATGAAAGCGATATCTCTCATGTCACAGCCGTTTCTATTCAATAAGAGTTGGAGATCTCAAATATATGGCCTTCAACCTCAAACAATCCTTATCACTAATATCTATTTCAAAGTAAAAGAAACTTGAGTACTAGATTTTTCTCACAAAATATCTCAGAACTATCTGTTAAGTCTCTAAAAGAGAAAATATTTCTCTAAAATTTACCTTTCGGAATTTTATTTTCAATAGTACACCAAATCCATTAACTTAATTTCAACAGTCTACAGCTATACGTTTTCATTATTAAAATATTTAACCGATCACGAATTCTTATCATTTTACTATACATTTTGGGCACATTTTGACAAAAACTTTCTTATTTGAATTTATAAAAGAAGCTTTGATTTTTCTAAAATTTGGTGGATTGATGTAATTTCTATCAAAAATAATTCTGAAAATGCTGAATCTAGTTTTAATTTGAAATGAGTATTACCGTTGTTAGTATTTGAAAATAAATTTTGATTGATATCTTTTCAATATATTTTTAAATCTTTTTTTCTCCCTAATTTTGTTCAATCAAACTCTTAGAAATTCCAACAAAAATCTCAAATCTCAACGAGAAGATATCCAGAGAAGTTTCAAATTTGATTTTATATCAAAATGGCTTCAATATTCTGCTCTATTGCAATATCGTTGCTTGTATAAAATCGCTTCAAAACAAAATTCAAGACTAAATCATATACTCTGTTTTCTAGAGTGCGATTGCCGTTGTTGTCACGTTTATTTACACAATTCTAGACAATATTGGGAAGAACTGATTGATGGAGGTTTTCAATGTACCCTAAATTTTAATCGTCTTCGTTCTGCTTATATATTATTTACATTAAAATAAAACAAAGTGAGAATCATTTTTGTTTCTAAGCTAATTTTCTTTTTCTATGATTCTAATATAAATATCACTAATAACTCTTATTTTTTCTTTTGCTATTCAATGGAAAGAGTTAATCCTAAAAGAAATTTATTATTTGATTCATCACATTTCATTAACAAATGCCAAGTATGTTTGCATATTTAAATCGATTTCGCAAATAAAACCCAGGTGAATATATCGATAACACAACGACCGACTTACCACTATCAAATGAAAATTAATCAAATAGTTGAAATCGGATGTCTATGTACGCCCTGTCGAAAAACAAAAGCTAATGATTCGAGTTAGTATTTTAGAAACATTGCTTTTTATTGTTAGGTTGTTGTATTTTATAATATTTTCAGTACTCACAAATTTTTGCCGTTATCATGAACCATCTAATAATCTATTTCCCTCTTCTGAAATGCAAAAGGCATGTCAATTGGCTGTTGAATATGCGATGAGTACATATTACGAGCTATTTGTTCTCAAAAATAGGTATAAATGAATAAGTTACAAAGTACAGTAGATAAATGACGCAGGATAGCAATCTATAGAAAGAACTTGCAGGAATTTTGGTCACGATTCACATTATTGTAAACATCTGCCACCCAGGTCGAACAGTCCGGCCTGGGAACGGCCGGTTCCAGGTAGTTCCGTTGATTTTGTGGAAGCAGTATTCCGGTTGGAAATTTTTCGCATTTTTTCTCGTGATACCCGATCAATTCCTGCCGGAATGCACCGGAACTTGGCAGGATTTCTCCGGAAAAATCTGACCGTATTTTTGACCAGAATACTGCTTCCATGTTCCAATAATTTCCGGTGTTTTCCTGCAGGATATGGTGACTTTCCCGCATATTCCATGGAGTATCCTACGGGATCCGGTGGCCGGAATGTTCGACCTGGGCAGCTTATTTAAGTTAGATTTCAAGATCTTGGCTGATTCTTACTAATAGTCATCTTTCTTTTTCTCGTGAAATGATTTACGTCAAAATGACAGCAGTTAAATTATTTAATATCATATCTATTTGAAACTATAATCTTTCCGAATATATGCCTTCTACACTTTGCATTGAAAGGTGTTGTCTCTATGGCTCTGCAAAAAAGATTTTTTTCATCTTAAACGAGTTACTTTACGTCTACATATATATTTTTTTCTCCTTTTCGTTATTCTATATACACTTCATAATGGTCTTTTGTAGCAACGGGATCAACAGTCCTTGAAAGATCATAAAACTCAATGCTCAAATTATCGTGATGACAGCGAACAAATTCGAAAGTTGAGAGCATTTGAATTTCTAGCTTCTTATCATCCATGCGGTGTATCAATTGGTTTCGTAGAAGCTATCAAAGCTGAAGGCATGCGATCTATTACAAGACATTTATTGCGTTCCATCATACATGGTTGTCAAATGCCTGATGCGCTTCTATACGATTGCGCGTGTACGCTTAAATTACATTGGCAAAAGTGGATAGATACTGACATGTTAAAGTTAACTAATATAACACGACAACTTCCGAAATATATTGCTCTTGATAACTTCCATCAATGTACACATACTAGATCGATATGTCAAACCGTTATGAAGATGGACCATCCGTCTCACGAAGGACGGTTTTTGGGAGTAAATAGTCAAGCAGCCGAAATTGACTTTCAATTTATTGCTAAAGCAAAATATTCGTTAAGAAATTTTTCGTTTCCATATTCAACAGTAATATTAATGCTCGTGCTGCATTTGAAAAACTGTAGAATCGTTGGCATCAATGAATACCAAATTGGCTTTTCATCATTATATTTTTCAAATGAAATTAAAGATTACTTTCTGACACCTAGAGTATGTGAAACATTTGGAACATTCGATAAGGACGATGAAAATACTGAAGAATTCTATATAATAGAAGATTATAATGAACTAACAACAGAAGAATAATTATCAGTGGATTTCATATTTTCTTTTATCTCTCTCTCTCTCTCTCTCTCTCTCTCTATATATATATATATATATATATATAATGTTCTAAATACTATCGATGATATTACAAATCATGAATACTGTCGCTAATTGTGATTGCTCATCTTATTAAAAGCTCTATTAGCTTTTTTCTGTGTAAGTCACCTTCATATATATGTAGTTATCTCTTCATTTTGTTAAGTGATATTATGAAATTGTTTCTGTATTATCATTATTTTGTATAATGCACTGATTTTTAGTTAAAGTTTTACTCTTGATAATTCAAATTTGATCAAAAGTAGACATGGACCAAACCCAAACCGTTTGAACTCGATAATGGCGAACTCGACTCGAACTCGAAACTTTGAGTTTGAACTCGATTGAACTCGAGTTCGAACATGTAAGGTCGAGCTCGATCGAGCTCAAACTTTAAAACGTCGAGTTCGAGTCGAGTTTAAGCTTTTAATACTCGAACTCGATCGAGCTCAAACTCAAAACTTCGAGTTCGAGTCGAGTTCAAGCTTGAAAGTTCGAGCTCAAGTCGAGCTCGGACTGGAAAGATCGAGTTTGCATCGAGTTCGATCGAGCTCAGTGATGAATGAAAGGAAGAAGAATTTTTCACGAAAAACGTGAAGTGACTAAGTATTCGGTATGCGCCCACCAATAGGACTACGAATGCAAGCGTAAACAATCTTTTTTAGCATATTGCAGGATAAATCTGAGCTTCGTTCTTCACAAAATCGTATTGGTCAGTCTCGACCAATCGGAGGGCTGGACGGTATCCCCAAAAATCGAGAAATTGTTCCCCTTACAGCAGAAACGCTTGTCAAGCGAAACAATAACAGCTACTACTAATTTCCATGCAGAAATGAATAAACAATATATATTATTTTAAGGAGAAATGGATGAAAATACAAGGAGAGATCAATCATTAATTTTTGTACTTTTGGGGTGTTAGGTCTGATTATCACCTTAATTGTCTGTCGTTTCTGCTATCTTTATTGATTTCACAAGACAACTATTATATAGTCATAACAAAAGAGAAAAAATGCATGGAATGAAAAGTCCAATGTACGCGAAACGTATATTAGAAAAAGTGTAAACAAAGAGAACGAAAGAAATAATGCAGGCGCGACAAGTATACAATAACTGATAAATACAGAAAGAAAAGAGGACACCGAAACTAGTCACACATGAATATATTCACTACCTAAGATTTGGAAAGTCTAGTAGAGATCGATTTTGTACAGCAGAAATAGATTATTTTCAAGTAGAAATGAACAAACGATTTGTACCAGTACATATATGTATATGTATAATTTTCCATGTCTGCTTGATATATATGACATTATGTGAGGTGAACCGTTTCCGCTGAAACGGGAACAATTTCTTCATCGATTGGTTATATCGTCCACTGCTGCTATGGGCCGCCGTTTTTCGTAAACCTCAGTTTCAATTGGTCGGCGACTAACCAATAGGGTTTCGAAAAAAATGGAGCTTACATTGAAAGTCCCCGCATCGGCCCCAAACAAACCAAAAAGATAAAACAGAATTAACTACTAAATCCCCTCAAAAAGATGACTTAAGTGTGAATTAACCAATCACGTTGCTTAATTTTGTTTTATTGCTTTGGTCTGTTTGAGGCCATCGACTTACGTATGAGCAACCATTTTTCGTAAATCTCGGTTTCTATTGGTTCCCGACTGACCAATGGGTTTCCGAGAAAAATGGAGCTTAAGTTAGATTCAAAGTTCCCGCATCAAACTGCCTATGGATAATCACTTTTCGAAAACCTCGATTTCGATTGTTCGAGACTGACCAATACGATTTTGTGAAGAACGAAGCTCAGGTTTATCCTGCAATATGCTAAAAAAGATTGTTTACGCTTGCATTCGTAGTCCTATTGGTGGGTGCATACCGAATACTTAGTCACTTCACGTTTTTCGTGAAAAATTCTTCTTCCTTTCATTCATCACTGAGCTCGATCGAACTCGATGCAAACTCGATCTTTCCAGTTCGAGCTCGACTCGAACTCGAAGTGTTGAGTTTGAGCTCGATCGAGTTCGAGTATTAAAAGCTTAAACTCGACTCGAACTCGAAGTTTTAGAGTTTGAGCTCGATCGAACTCGACCTTACATGTTCGAACTCGAGCTCAATTGAATCTATTTATTCGAGTTCAAATCGAGCTCAATCTTGGAAAACTCGGTATCGAAACTCGAAGTTGTGCTCGAGTTTGGTACATGTCTAATCAAAAGTAAAAGTACAATTGAAAAATATCTTAAAGAAAAAGGTTTTAATTAGTGGTACATTAATAAATAAAATATAGAATATTTACGTTTAGAAAGTGCTTTATCACTGTATAACTTGGAAGCAGTTCAGTATTAAAATTAGAATAGAATACAGTTACAAAATATAAATTGGGCGCTTAATAATTTTCTTTCATACTAAATGTAAAACGAACAATAGATACCGTTCGTTGTCTTCTGTTCTTCTTCTCCTTTATTGGTCAATGCGATATTCAATTTCTAAATTACGCGAAATGATGAACAACTTTCTTTTTTTTCTAAACGAGTTTGTTGAAATCATGTAAATGAATGCATTCTTTTCTGAAAACAAAAATATCTCATTAACATCGAAGGTTTTTAATTATATTACGCTGTATTCTATACACTATAAATCAGTATGTAGTAATTTGTGTGATTTTTTTTACGGTAATACTTAAAGCTGGGACTATGGCCAACAGATGGACAAAACAATTTATCAAATGATAAAAATATTCATTTTTCTCAATTTATCAATCATCAAGGTGTAGCCACTTTACGCATGCACCAAAAAGCAAACCTTTTGGTTTTGATGGTTTTGGTTTTGAGGTTTTGGTTTTGATATTGGTTTTGGTTTTGATATTGGTTTTGGTTTTGATATTGGTTTTGGTTTTGATATTGGTTTTGGTTTTGATATTGGTTTTGGTTTTGATATTGGTTTTTGTTTTGTATTTTTTTTTTGTTTTGAGATTTTGGTTTTTATGTTTTTTTTTTGATGTTTTGGTTTTGATGTTTTGGTTTTGATATAGTTTTGGTTTTGACTCAACACCAAAACCGTCACAATTTTTGACCGTTTCGGTTTTTTTCTGCTACGAAAAGATGAGCATATACAACGAAAATTGTTTGTCGTTGTTTTCGTCGCCGAAAAAATCGGAAACGGTCAAAAATTGTGACGGTTTTGGTGTTGAGTCAAAACCAAAACTATGTCAAAACCAAAACCTCAAAACCAAAACCAATGTCGAAACCAAAACTCGAAACCAAAACTTCAAAACCAGTTTTGGTTTTGGTGCATGCCTAAGCCACTTCACGATATGTGACTTTTATTTTGATGGAGTTTACAATAGAAACTATTCTGAAGAAAATAAAATAATTTTCCTTCACTGAAAGAATTAAAAATTCTTCAATTTGATCAGTTTTTAGGATTAAATTTGATCAATGATGCATCTATTTTACAATTTTTTTTAATTTTTAAATCTTTTTTTAAAATTTTAAAAGTAACTGTTCGCAATGCTATTGCATTTTCTGTTATTATCGAGCACTATTATTTTGCACTGCTTCGAGTGAATTAGATATTTACTAAAATAGCTTTTCCTTTTGCTATATAATAATCATTTTTTTTAATGCGGTGCGAAACACTGCATTCATGTAGTCCGTCGCGAGTTT